AAGAAACGAAACGGTTACACAAGGAAAGCCGAGCGCGAAAAAATAAGGCGGGCGCGGATAAAAGGTGGAACAGAAGAAGAAGTCGGTTGTGGAATGGAAGAGGATAATGCCAGGTGTAAAACCTTCGTACCTTCCCACTAAGGTGTGCGAGAAGGCATAGCCATCTCTAGGCGGCCGTAGGCTGCCTTTAGTGCGATTGGCTGTTAGCGGCTGAAAAAAACGACCCTGGTGTTGGCAGACCCTCTTTGTGGTGCTGGCTGACCCACTATACCCGAGTCTCGGCCCGAGACTCTCGGGGATCTCGACGCCCTGGATGCTCAACAGGGTATTCAACAGACAATATCTGGGAGTGGGGCCGATATGCCATCCTTAGAGGGCAGCACATCAGCTATGTTGTCAGAGAGGACTCTGATCATTGGGCTGTGATAGGATATAGGCTGGTCAAGAGTCCCTTAGATGGCATATCCGCCCCAGTAGAGAAGTTGATCCTCCCATCTCGTGTCCATGCATATGCGCTCATGCACATCTTGAAGTGGCATATCTGCTTCTTTCATCCTTCTCACTCCTATTTAGGTATGGCATAGCTGCCCTTCCCATCCTCCTCACGCGGAGTTAGTAGTGGCATACCCGCCCCTCTCATGCTTCTCACCCACAGTTAGGAGTCGAATAAACGTCTCTTGCACCCCTCTGCTCCCCATTTGCGAGTGGCATAGGTGCCCCTCTCCACCCATCAATCCTCCAACACAGATTTACTCCATGACTCTTAGGTCACGCTGGTTTATAGCAGCACAAGTCAGGAAGGTGAGGGGGGGAAGGGGTATCATTGGACTCGCAGGCGGTCGAAGTTTTTGCCGCTTGGATGCAGTCATTCATTGTCGATATTGGTGCATCACATCATCGAATAGCATAGTACCTCATAGATTCCCATCATAAACAATCACGGGTCAACAACTCACGGACGATGAGTGAGTGCGTGCTCGGTGTGTTGGGCCGTGGTCGTCGTCAGCTTTGACGGTCATGTCACAAGTAGATTTGTGTTGGTTGGAAAAGGTAGTTCGTAAAGAAGCCGAGCTTACGGCTATCACCCGTCACGTGACGTGGTGACGTGATGTAAAGTATTCAGGGAACGTCTCTGTCATGGGCCACGAAGTGGCCGCCACGCCGTAGGGAGCGGGCACATCGGGATATTTTCGAGCGAGGGAGCTTTGATGTTAAAATATATTGGCCATCCTGTTATAGGATTCCTGTATTGTTTTGAGCTTTGGGAACTTCCATCTCCACCGTGTTGAATCGATAGTGACACTGGTATCAACTGAGCTACGACAAGTATAATAGATCCGCGTTTCCTTCCGCAACGACAACACATGACCAGATGGTTGTGCGTCCGATCGTGCGTTCCATAATGCGTGGCTGCGGAGCGATCGAGGTCATGTTTATGAAAAATGACTGGTTCCAACCGAGGAGTCTCTATGCTTGCCTCGAGTAGTATTCGGCGAAAACCGGGAATCTTTTCCTATCAAACAATGGGTATTTGAAGCTCAGAGCCTCACTCTACCAAGCCTCATCTACCTTGCAATAGTGTCGACTGCTTTGGATTAGTATCGCTGGTTGAGAGGCGAAGGCAGAGTTCCGTAGAAGGTGAAAAGAATGGTCCAGATGATGCAGGGAGACAAAGGTGATTGTGTGAGGGAGGTGCTTCAGCGTGCATCCTACCGCTCCGCGATAATCGATAAAATATCTGTGATGCAATTCGCTCTTATTCAAAGTGATCTTGTTTGGCGGTTTCTTCCTTCTTGGCCTTAGCATAATGCCAGTAACTTATCACAATATATCAGACAAGTGCAGTGACAGGAGTCTCTGTTAGTATTTGTGTAGTAGCTTTTCTCTCCCTGAGTGGTTCTAGGACCTAGGACGACTCAGGGAGAGAATAGGGCCTAGAATCTAGATGGTGTCCATTCTCTGGGATGAAATCCTAGTCCCTAGCGTAGTGATGTTTTGACAGATCTCCGTTATTTCGCGAAGTGCATCGGTCATCCGGAGTATCCAACGCATTCGCACTCTCCTCTGTAGCTTTTGCCCGTGTTGCCTCCTTCTCCATGGCAGGAACTCGAAGCGACTCCATCTCCTCAGTGGTCACCACTGATACCTACGTCGAAAGAGTTATCGATAACATTGGTTACGGCAAGTTTCAATACTGGCTCCTTGTCCTCTGTTCGGTCGGTTACTTTGCGATATGCGCTGAGTTGCTCGTTGTGGTATTCATCCAAGGCGAGATCATGGAGGAGTATCATCTTAGTCAAACCGGATACGCTTTCTTCCCCTTCCTGACTTCCCTCCTATCGATGATCTCCTCGACACTGTTTGGGTACCTTAGCGATTGTATCGGTCGTAAGTGGCCGTTCGTTATTACTTTGCTTATTTCCGCTCTGGCTGGTATTGCCTCCGCCTTCTCCTGGAGCTTCTGGTCTCTGGTCATGTTCCGCTGTATCGTTGCTATTGGTCTCGGTGGACTCACTTCGTTGGACTATCTCGTCTACGTTGAGTTCACACCTCAGTCCCGAAGATGCCTCTACTCTACTGTAGTCTTCATTGGAGGTTGTCTCGGTGTCCTCTACTTGGCCGGGGTTAATCTTGTCAACCTTTCCTTCTCCGGAATCCCACAATGGAGAGTTCTTCTTATCCTGGCCGCGGCGCCCCTGCTCCCAACTGGGATACTCAGGTGGTACTTCCGTTGTGAGACTCCGCGATATCTGATGTCGCGAAGGAAACTTTCCGAGGCTCATATGGTGCTGGTCCATATGGCTAAAGAAAATAAATGTGACTCTGCAACGGTCCCGCCTCTCGATGAATTCACTTGTAGAGCTCAGGAGGAGGCTGTCGGTAAGGTGTCGTCATCTGAGTCGGAGAAGCTCGGCTTTTTCGAGGCACTCGGAAAGATTTATCATGGTGAAGAGTTTGACCGAGCTACTATTCCATTATGTTTGATTTGGTTATTGCAGGCTACTGCCTATTGGGGTCTCACACTTTTCCTGCCAGGCTTCCTGGTCGAATCTGGTCTCAACCCAAATTTTACGCTCTTTCTGATGGTCCTTTGTGAACTCCCTGGTACAGCAGTTATCGCCGTGCTGCTGAAGAAGATGTCCATGAGTGTATGTCTTCGTATCTTCCAAGGATGTGCATGCTTGGCCTGCCTCTGGTGCACCTTAGCTTCGTATTTCAATGCCCCTGTCGTAGTAGCTGTTGCTTCGTGCGCTATTTACTTCTTCCTAATCCCCTGTTGGTGCATTATTTACGTTATAACTCCCTCTGTCTATCCTCCACGCTATCGAGGTTCAGCTTCAGGGATGCTCACCGCAGTGGCTGGTGTGACTGGGGTTGTTTCCCCGTTCATATCAGCTGCGATCTCCGAGTCGTCTGAGGGACGTCAATGGCTCTATATGGCAGTCTGGACGGTAGTGGTTGGTGCCAACTTCCTCGTTGCCCTCATTTGGCTGAAGATCAAGAACGAAAGAAAGAATAACTCTTGAGTATGGACAGCCGTATGTTCACAAGCAGTTGGTTGGATTTCTGCTGTAAATCGTTTGACTAAGGCTGTCTAGTGTTCTTAAAGGCTTTACTTACTGCTATTTCGGGACGTCTCCGTTCACTCCCATTAGTGAAAGTCTTTTTTGTTGTGTTGAAAATCTTCACGGTGCGATAGGGTGTTTGAAGGGTATCTTGATTCCCTGTAGTTAAATGCATTTCTAGGTTAGTACTATCTTGGGGTCGATATGCCATCGGTTGCGAGGGCGCGTATCTCAGGTAGTAGGATACGAATTAGGGTACGTCTCTGTTCATTTCAATTATCTAGAATGCTTTCGGGTTGTGTTGAAATTCTCCGTGGTGCGATACGGTATTTGGAGTGTATACTCATGATCTGTGGCAGAACGAATTTTCAGGTTAGTAGTATCTTGGGGCGGGTATGCCATCGGATGATGAGCAACTAGATACAATAGAGGTTCTACTGAGGCACGTTATCCGTTTGGAGCGATGGAGCATAGTGCAATTCTACGGTTCCGAAAATGAATTGCATGATGAGCATGTGTTATTGTTCGCGTGTCTCCTGAGCATGCGTAGGACACATGATTTGTGACGCGCATGCCTTCGTGTCTTGCCTCCCTACTGCTTTATCGAGAGTAACATGACTTCAAGATCTACAGTTGGAGTTGCACGAGTCTCACCCAAACAAACTCATGAACTCCTCTTGGGTTTTCGTAGTGTTTATCTCTCCTCAAGGCGGCTTTTAGTTGTTGCGCTCCTGCTTGCAACATGTGGTGTCGTCAATATGGCGCCGTGTCACCTTAGCTTTCTTCCCAAGGGATGAACGTTTTGCCACCGAGGGGAAGATGCCGTATGGCAACAAGTATGGCGGTTCGAATACTGCTTTGGCAATTTTATGCTGCCTTTTCGAACATCTGATGATCACATGTTGTTCAATACATCAAGGGCTGAAGAGCTCACAGCCGACATTATACTCTTGTGTTTTTCTCGTGGATCCTATCACGTCGTAGATTATCTCAGTTCGAACTCTCCTGATGTTTGGATCTCGCAAGCTATCAACCACGGCAACGGCTAACGACTTATCCTACGTGGAGGGGCTCATCGATGTCATCGGCTACGGTAGATTTCAGTACTGGCTGCTACTGCTCTGTTCAGTGGGATACTTTGCGGTATGCTCGGAACTTCTGGTTGTGGTGTTCATCCAACGTCAAGTCATGGAGGAGTACAACCTTACTCCAACAAGGTACGCCTTCTTCCCCTTCCTGACTTCGCTCCTATCGATGATCTCCTCGACACTGTTCGGATATCTGAGCGATCGTATCGGTCGTAAGTGGCCGTTCGTTATTACGCTTCTCATCTCGGCTGTAGCTGGTATTGCCTCCGCCTTCTCCTGGAGCTTCTGGTCTCTGGTCATGTTTCGCTGCATCGTCGCTATTGGTCTCGGTGGACTCTCCTCGTTGGACTATCTCATCTACGTGGAGTTCACACCACAGTCCCGTAGATGCCTCTACTCAACTATCGTCTTCATTGGGGGCTGTCTCGGTGTCCTCTATTTGGCCGGGGTTAACCTTGCTAACCTCTCCTTCTCCGGTATCCCACAATGGAGAGTTCTTCTTGTTCTGGCCGCGGCGCCTCTGCTTCCGACTGCCATCCTTAGGTGGTACTTCCGTTGCGAGACTCCGCGATATTTGATGTCTCGAAGGACGGTATCCGAGGCTCATAATGTGCTTGTCCACATGGCCCACAAGAATAACAGCGGTGAGGATGCAGTCCCGACTCTCGACGAGTTCTCTTCCAGGACCAAAGAGGAGGCCGCTGGTGAACAGTTCTCGCTTGAGACGGGACGATTCGGCTTCGGAGAAGCGCTTAGATACATATACCACGGAGAAGAGTTTGCCCGAGCTACTATTCCATTATGTTTGATTTGGTTACTGCAGGCCACTGCCTATTGGGGTCTCACACTTTTCCTGCCAGGCTTCCTGGTTCAATCTGGTCTCAACCCAAATTTTACGCTCTTTTTGATGGTCCTTTGTGAACTCCCCGGTACAGCAGTTATCGCCGTGCTGCTGAAGAAGATGTCGATGAGTGTATGTCTTCGTATCTTCGAAGGGTGTGCATGCTTGGCCTGCCTCTGGTGCACCTTAGCTTCGTATTTCGGTGCTTCAGTCGTAGTAGCTGTTGCTTCGTGCGCTATTTACTTTTTCCTCATCCCTTGTTGGTGTATCATCTTCGTACTTACTCCAGCAGTCTATCCACCACGTTATCGTGGTTCAGCTTCAGGGATGCTCAGCGCCATCGCTGGCCTGACGGGCGTAGTGTCCCCGTTCATATCGGCGACGGTTTCTGAGTCGTCTCGTGGTCGCCAGTGGCTCTATATGGCGGTCTGGACGGTGGTCATTGGTCTGAACTTTCTCGTGGCTCTTTTATGGTTGAAGGTTAAGAACGAAAGGAAATTTGATTCATAAGTGTGGGATAAGGATATCACACTTCAGATTGTTGTGTCGAGCGAATGAACGCGGATTTTAATCAGATAGTACTCAACATATCTAGTCGTCACCCTCATAGGGATTAAAGAGATTTTTCTATGCTTGAATGTTGTGTTTAAAGACTCCACGATGAAAGCTATGGTTGGTAGAGATACCCTTCTCATTACCATCTTTCTGGGCCCTTCGAGAAATGAGTAACCCTATAACCCTCACACCCATTCATCTGCACGCTGTTTCTCACGCTTTTACACGTCCACCTTTCTCTCTGCTCGGTTGATTCCAGTCACGACGTGTCTAATAATCCTTTTATGAACCGTCGCTGATCAGACATTGCCGGGGAAGTTATTCGCAGCGAATAATTATAATGCCACTTCGAAATGTGTAGACCTAAGCGTGCCGATAGAATGTTAAACGCATGAGACTCTTCACAATAAGCAACGCTCCTGTACTCTATGGAGATCAATGGTACAAGTAACGTAGAATAACTTATGGCCTACCGTGGAGGGTTGCGAATCCCGAGGCAGCGAGTCTAAACAACAGGAACACGAGCCATAAGCATGACAAGTGTTGCGAGTATATCGTACACGTCACATCTCTCATGCCATACTCAAGGCCACATTGCATACAATGAAACATAACAATATTTAACTGGTAAATTAAAAACATTAGTTGTCTTTGAACCATGAGATATCATCATCCTGGGCCTCGCGACGACCTCTCTCAGTGAACATGGTGTATCTGTCATTCCATCTGACCTTTCAGACAACCTCGATGGTGATGCTAATGTTTCTACGCATCTCCGGTGATGGGCTCTAATACACCCAATTCCTTCCCCACAGACACGAATGCGGCCACCGCCTTCTGCAGCTGTTTTTCAGTATGCGCCGCGGAAAGTTGTACCTAATCGTTCAACACTCTGTAAAACAACAATCACAGCGTCACTCACTCTGATTCTGGCTTGGCCTTTGGGTACAACAGGGTAACTAAACCCAATGACGTAGATATCCCTATCCAGGAGGGCGTCAGCAAACTGAGTCGCGAGCTTAGCATCACCGAGGAGGACGGGGACGATGGGACAACGCGAGTCGCCCAACACGGTAAAACCAGCACGGTTGAGAGCTTTGCTGAGAGAAATACGGCTGTACACAGCTCAAGCCATAACTCAGATTTACCGGAAATACTCCGTATTCTTCGCCAGCTTCTCCTGAAGCTCCGGACTTTCCTCCAACTTCTCAAAGGCGACCTGAAGACCAAATATCACCACGCTGTTCCTGAATAAAACCTACTTGACTGGCACCGACAACGCTGGGAGCCACCGAGTTGCTGAACAGATAAGGGCGTGCCTTTTGACGCATCACTTCAATGATATCAGAAGACGCTGCCGTATATCCACCGGTCGCACCACCTGATACCGAGGTGCAGTCAACATGACAATATATTCCACAGCAGAATGAATAAATCCATTGAATGAGACGCCACTGGTAATAAGACCTACCGAGAGCCTTCCCCAACGTCGAGTTTATGATGTCCACTTTGACGCCATACATATCAGGAGTACCGCGACCATTGGCACCGAAGACTCCAGTGGCGTGGCATTCATCCACCATAACATAGGTATTAGGATACCTACAACAGGGGCACTATGACAAAGACCTTGTGTAGCATGTGGGAGTACTTGTGGGCTAACTCGACGATCTTGTCGAGTGGAGCGATATCACCGTCCATTGAGAAAACCCCATCCGTAACAATCAGGCGGATCTGAAAGTTGTAATAGGATCACGAAAGGCAACTTCATGTATACTTTCGCATTGCTAGCCTCCTGAATTTTGGCCTCCAAGTCCTGCATGTCCAGATGATTATATCTGCAGAAGAACGAGATCCACCAAAGTGAATATACCCTACCCGTAAATTGAACCCGAAGTCCTCACCTTGACAACGTGACGACATATCCATTGGACCAACATACCACACAACTACAAGTCCACCGTACTTACCTGAACCTTTGGGCCTTGCACAGTCTTATTCCATCAATGATGCTCGCATGATTCAAGACATCCGAGATCACAGCGTCTTCCGCACTCAACAGCGTCTCGAATATACCACCATTTGCATCGAAACACGAAGGAAATAAAATGCAATCCTCCATACCGTGAAACTGAACAAGCACGAATCACCAACGAGTATAAACCAGACAATACAGACCTTTGCAATGGTCCTCTCAAGTTTCTTATGAATATCCTGAGTTCCACAGATAAATCTCACACTGCTCAAACCAAACCCATGAGTCTTCAGTGTTTCCGCAGCCGCAGCGACCAACTGTGGATCGTTAGCAAGACCGAGGTAATTGTTGGCACCTCGAAAGACAACAATGTCAACTTCAACTTCAGCACGGCAACACAGGTACTTACAAAAATTCAGAATATCGCGTTGCTTGCCACCCTCAACGTGGAGACTCGCTCCCTGTGGACTTGTAATGATACGCTCCGATTTATACCTATTAACACAATAACAATCATCTCAAACATTTCACTTACGTTCCTGTCGATTTGGCTTCCTCCACTACTGCCTTCAGTTTATCCGCCAGCGCACCATGAGTAGCAAAACCACGGGATAACGTCAGGACAGAATAGTGAGGAAGACGAGGGAGAACCGCAACAGACGCCAGGCAACGGGTGATCATCTTGGCAATGAAAAACTATTGGCGAGAGTTAGTGACAAACGGATCATTTGGGATTGAAACATAACGAAACTTGAAGCACTGCACTCAAGCTAGTTGCTCAGCTCATCCACGGCCACGCAATATTTCCATTCCATATCATTCCTTTCTCAATTCTCGATCCCTTCGAACACAATTAATCTACTGAACTGCACTGAACTCATCAGGTCAGAAATCACTTTCTACTGACCATCCAAGAATGGTTATTTTGTATCGACTCGCTACCAGCGAGTGGCGACAGGGCAGAGCTCTTTATGAGTGTTATAATGTGAAGAATACAGACAGTTTGGCATATCACGATAAACAAGGAGCTGCGGCCTGTTAACAGCGGCTAATGTCGAGGCGTGTGATACTTTTTAATAGCAGATTTCTCTTCGGCTGATGGTGTAGCAACGGGTGGTGATTCAAACAAAGTCGTGATAATTTCGTGGCGCGTGAAGACATCGAATCATTAAGAGCCGTTCACTGCATTCCAACCCTCCTTTGTGGGGCAATGTACACGTAGTCACCAGCTTCATGTGTAGAACTCCAAGATTGAGAAAAGTCAAAGCCGACTCGGATAACTCACAATGACGCTAGACTCGGCAGAAACTGATTATGAACCTTGTCGGAGTTGAGGCTGTCTGCCACTGAGTTCGCAATGTAATTCTTAGCAGTGTAATGCATTACTATGGGTAATCCGGAAGGGAAAGCCAAAACCCTCTGGCCAAGCATATCGCCAAAAAGCTCGAGTCCAGATACAATCATAGTCTCTGCGATACGCATGCACATAGCGTAAGCTACCCTGCGCAGCACAACTAAGCTTCAAATCGAGGGCCTTGACACATCCGATCGATGGTTTTCGGCGGGTTGTGGCAGATTCAATTTGGATCAACATGCGTATTATACTGCGAACCCAGGCGGTGTATCAGTTCAACGTTGCAAGTGCATCGCGACAATCCTGGGGACACCACTTAGAAGGCGCTTACTGCGATGAGCCAGATAGACGTATTATACGCCGCGTATAGACTCAGTGCACCCTGGAAAGCGCTTATAGATAGCGGCGGCCTCCATCAGACGTAAGAACCGACTCCTAAAGAGTACACCAATGAAGATGATGCGTAGTAGGCCTATTTCTAACTCGTGTCAAAGGGGTTCTCCATTCTCGCACGATGAACGGCCAGGATCTGTGTCACAATGTGCAGTCTTAACAAGCGCAAGGGAGACGATAGCATCCAAGCTGGCGTTGTTGACGAAGAATATACAGTTATGGACGGATTTTCATGAGAAAACTTGGTTTAGGGATACTCCTAAGAATTACTGAAAATTTGAGGAAATCAGTAAAATTCCAAAATTTCATTAACCGGAGCAAACAGTTTCGATTTTCGACACATCGCGCCCAACCTGACCTATTTTGTGTCATCCACACCTGACCTAAAGATACTGTCGCCATCATCAACGTAATTCGCGGATAACCGTGGAACCCGCAAACTTTGCGGGTTCTTGTCTTCAAGACGAACAAATGATGAGAAGTTCTCATTGTATTCCACGCCTACTGAAGTATGACCTACTTTGACACCAACACAAATAATATATGATATTGACCATTAATACTTGTTACAGAGTATTGTTTCTGCTATAACATCTCTCGGCTCTGAGTTCCCATAGAGTGACACGAATGTGCGGACCGCACAGTGCGGTGTCTTCCATCCTATTTTGATACTCGCCTGCCAATGGTAGGCTGTTATTGCCATCGTCACTAGCAGCACCACCTCCACCAAAAGCACCTTTGATACAGGAGGGTTTCAAGTCTCCTAGCAGCGCAGTACCGCAGTATTGATACACTAGTACAAAACCCTCTATGAACACCTTTAACAAATACCATATTTTTCTGAGTCTGCGCATACTTGTTGATAAGTTCTATAAGCAAGTTTTAGAAACAAATAAAACGCAGTAAGTTCGTGATATTGTCGTGCAGTATCTTTACCTGACATACATATCACCGAAAGTACACTCTGAAATACGGACTACAATATCGTACCACTCTCTTCTTTCTTCGGACTATTTTCATGTACTTGCATACTTCCCTCTTCAGAGAAGCATACCAAATGACGAGATACGACCCTAGCGAAACGCCTACCACCATGTTCATCATCAACTATGACTGGCTGTTGCGGCAAGAAAGTAGACAGTGTTGCGGGAACACTGAAAGTTACCGACTCTCCGGTACTGCAGTCAATGCCACTCACTTTGCGAATATTCATGCAAAAACCAAATGCAACTAACAACGTGAGGAAATGAAAGCAAAAACGAGATAACAACCAGTAACACTCATTGGAATAGTCTCAAAGACACTAATCTAAAAGCCACGCTATGAAAAAAAACTACACGCTAGTAGCTCACTCATTGAATTCCTCTATACCGTGCTCTACTAGCGTGAAACAGACATTCGCGTAAATCCGCTGCGTCAACCTCGAAGACTGTTACCATCGCATTTCTCATCGCGGTAGATCAGTCATCACGGATTGCACATCGCACTGCCTAACTTTGCTTGTATCGTCCGCCGCAGCTCGTCAGCTGAATCTTGCCAGGCACTCCTCTGCTGACTACACTGCCACACCCTCGCCTATGTCATCGAAGATTGGAAAAGGTGAACGGTTCAC